CCCCCCCCCATTCAAAATCTAGGGGAGACAATAATCAAAAACTAATATCAAATTTACAGGTTTCTGAATGAACTGAAACAATTGATAATGTTTTCATCAGTGACTCAACAACCAGGTAATTGGGTTTTTATTTTATTTTATTTTATTTTTTAAAAACACCTCCTCACTGTGACTGACCTCCTGAAGAGGTATCTGTTCCTCCTCTTCCCCACCCTCCGTGTGCCAGGGAAAATGGCTTCACATGCCATCTCTGGCACGCACGCCATAGGTTTGCCACCACAGGTCTATACTATAGAACCAGAAGACCAGTGCAATAAAAAGTAGCAAGATACAGATACAGGACTTCTGGTTTTGACAACAAATATCTAATGATTAAAAAGGAAGCAAACATGTTTTTTATTTCCTGTATCCAACAAAACAGGATATTATTAACACTTTTGTTGAAATTCAGTTCATGGAATAATAAAAGGAAAGACTGCACTTATAACAGCTCTCTTGTGCTGTATTTCTATTGGGTGGATAATATTCACATAATTTTATCCAGTAGGTGGCACTGGACTTACTAGCATCTGGCTGCAGTTTGGAGTTTCCTCTATTGTTCTTACTGGACAGAGAGATAATAAAATTCATGTCTAGCTTCTGGATTGCTGGGTTCCCTAAGTCTTCCATGAAAGTAATCAACCACCAACTTTAGATAATCCAGATGACATCAACACACAAAATAAGGGGAAGAGCTGGGATGGGGGAGTGGTAACTTTTTAAAAGAATCTATTAAGGCTGTTTCAATTCTATTCTAGACAATTCTAACAATTCTATTAAGGCTATATCACTGGGATTACTTTGGACTGCTGTCTTCTTCGATGTTTATTCATAACACTGTAATTAGCTGGAATACCAACCATTCTATACTATACTATATACATTGGTGGTATTATATTTGTTGAACTATATGTTGATGGTGCTATATTTGTTGAAGATTTTTAGTTTCTATTTTTTACCATTATTTCCCTTTTGATGCTGACACATTCATGCAGTGTGAAATACAACGTATCTATAAGTAGTATTTGGGAGCAGTGCTTTCATGATAAGGCAAAGGTGGGAAGAAGGCAGAAAAGGAAAAGCATGGTGAAAGGTAGGAGTGCTATGGCAAAAGACAGGGAAACATCTGAGCAACATAGGGTGAAAACAACAAAGCAAGGTGTGGTTTTTTCTTACTTTCAGCTGACCCATAAAAGATATAAGCAAAAATCTACTTGCACATGAAGCTAGCACACCAGCCATTAAACAAGAAGAACTCTGTCTTGAATTGTTATTAGGTTATCAAAGAAACAATCTCAAAAAAAGTTCCATTATTGTTTAAGGTCTCTAAAATATTCCTCCTTTTATACATACGCAACCCATTTTTCAGGTAACAACTAAATGAAATAACAGGTCTGAATTTTGAAAGATCAACTGCATGTACTCTTGTATAAGTTTAGAAATTTTAGTCAAAAATAAACCTAAAAAAACTGGGTCAACTTATCCATGGATCAATGTAAATACTGTAACTTAATTCTTATTTATTTATTTATTTAGAAAAGAAACCATCCCCTTCTTTGAGTAGTGTAGCAAAAAATGAGAGTTTAGTCCATCCCGAGAGAACCTAAAAGAAGCACCAGTCCCTCTACTCTTTCTGCTGTGGTGCTGCTTCTGGCTTTTCTGAATACCTGGCTGGGAAAATGACAGCCATGGCAGTTCTTTAGTGCTTCCCCTCAAAGGAGCACCAAGTCAGTGGAGGCGCTCTGGTCCTTTTTTAAGCTTTTCCCAGGATCAACTAAACTCTCACATTTCACCACTCTGACTCAGAGAAGGGGCTGGCTCCTTTTTTTATAAGATTTAACTCTCGCCTCTACATTTTATTTTATTTATTTTTTTTTGACATGTGTGCAGTTTCTTAGCCCCACCTATGCCTGTTTGCCTCCCACACACGTTGCACAGCCACCATTTACCATAGTTCCCTCCTCATCCATTAAGCCTTTAGGATGAGTATAAACAGTTAGGGCTGCCAGAATTGTGTAACATCTTTGGCATTATTTTCCTTTGCTTCGTCCTTTACCTCCTTTGTTACATGCC